CTGTATAATGGAAGCCAGGGGGGCATTGAAAGGACAGACTCTTTCTCTCATGCTTTATTCCTGATTGCTCTTAGAATAATTGATGATGGAGACTTGCTTGTTTTTCATTACATTGTAATAATCCATAGAAAAATTAAAAAGGTAATATTCTGCCAGAACATTATTTGTTATGTTTACGGATATTTCTTTTAAATCTTAAACCAATCACGGGTAAAACACATGTGAAAAATCAATATGGAAAATTACTTCAGATTTATTTTTCTTGAAAATTGTTCCACTTTTACACTTTTCTTAAAGTATCAAATGTTCTCTGGAATACTTGACTCTGATTGGTAAATCATGGCATTCTGTATTTAAATATTTTTGTATAATAATGCTAAACTACATATTTGACTGACATGTCATGCTATTTTTTCTTGTATAATAAACTAATAATTAAAAAGTTGTAAATAAAATAGAGATTATTGGAGTATGTTTTTCGAGAAAATATTATTTAAGCCTTCCTACTTAAAAAATTCATGTTTTATTCAAAGTATTTCTCGACAGTTCTTTGTAATTATTTGTAACATTTCTGAGTGAAAATTGTTTGAAAACATTTAAGTGTACATTTTCGCATAACAAACCCATTTGGGGTTATACAAATCCTCTCTTGCTCACTGTATCAGGGTTTATTTTGCAATAATGACTGGCTGACTCAGTCCTGTTCCACTTATCGGGCCGAAAAACAGCTTAAATGTGTTAAACGAACTTGCCTCTGGAATGTAGGCCCTTGGCAGTTCATAGCTCATGATAACAAGATGTAAGCTCAACATTAGTACCATCTCTTTCCCCAGCAGACTGAGGAGATTGCAAACCTTTGAGGCAGACGACTCTTTGATATCCGCAGAGATGAAGGAAATAGCAGTTGCCTGTCAGCACGATCAAGGTTTTCTTAGGTGTGCCAGGCTTTTGATGAGGTACCTTTTAGCAGTCCGAGGCTCAGAGGTAAGATAGAAAGCAGTGCCTCATTCAACAGCATCTCCTTTTGTGTTAAGCATGGTTTTTATTCTTCAATACGTGCATCATCTCACTGGTGCCTCTATTTTCTCTTTTAGCCGTTTGGCTCTGTTCTCTTGTTAAACGCAGCCTTGATGTGGGTCAAACACATGTATCTGAACATGAATTGTTCACAGCTGCTTCTTTTTAGCGATTACATTTTGAGATTTTTTGTAATATCTAATTTCATAGTGATTTCAGCAAAATAAGAAGTGCCTCAAATATGAGGCACTTTGACAAACCGCTGAAATTTCTTGCCTTTCATTTCCTTAATAGGCTTGAGGTCTTTCTTTCTGGTGCTCTTGCTCTCTTTCCCTCTCTGTCTGTGTCATTAATTATTAAATATCAGAGAAAGCCTAATCACATCTGAACAGTGTGACGCCATTAAGTAAATTGTCTGAAAAATTGGAACAGTGCAGCATACAGAGCTTTCTCACTCAGTTGCTGCTCTCTGAAAGACGTCCATCATCTCTCGGAAGATACGGTATCATTCTTAACATACCGTTTTCTACTTTACCCATAGTTGCCTTTTCTGAAATTGGCAAATGTGAAATGTTTCAAATGTGGAATGTGTCTGTGTACATTTTGAGTTGAAATGTATTCTATAATAAGGGATATAATAGGATATTCTGTAATAATAATATTTATATAATAATATTTCATATGCATGAAATTGAAGTCTAAAAATGATAATTGCAAACAGGGTTTTATAGTTAACTGAAACTTAAATGAAAACTTACATATATACATATACAGTGGGTACGGAAAGTATTCAGACCCCCTTAAATTTTTCACTCTGTGTTATATTGCAGCCACATTTAAAAACTACTAAAAATGACAAAAACTACAAAACTGCTAAAACTGTTAAAATGAAAACAAAAAATATAAAAATAAAAACTGATTCAAAATACTCATAAAAACTATAATAGTATCTATGTGTACAAATGATTATTTTATGTGAAATCTGATGATTTTTTAAGTTGACACTCTAAGCTACGAATAACTATGAGTAATTGTAAAATACACTTTGACAATTCAGAATTTATTTAGTTAAAATACATTTGAAACATCCAGTAAAATCATATTTCAAATATTTAGTGCATTTGTTTTTTTTTCTTACAAAAGTTATCACAAACTGTACACATCATAACAACATGTATAGCGATCATTTAGTTGTCGTGTGCAAGTATGACAAAGAATCACTGAGAAGCAGTTCATCAATAGCAAGAACAAGAAGTTATCTCAGGAAGTTGAGCGCTAATCAAAACAGTTATACAATTTTTAGAGGCCATTACACAATATATGCAAACTGTGTATAAAGTTATTCAAGATCACAAGCCCATAGTTCAAACCAATCACCAAACGATCCATAGAAATGCACTTTAACAACATAACAATTCGAAGAAATCCTCAAGTATATACACACGCCGGCAAGTTAAATGAAATAAAAAATAATACCTCTCAGAAATAATAGGTGTCGACATTTCGAAACAATATCTAATGTACTGGTATCAACATGCTACAATACTTTATCTTTGTACTATCACGCCGACCGAGCTCTGGGGCAGAAACACTGTCTTGTGCAAATTACAGTTAACAGTACACAGCCGTTTGTGTAATTGCCATGATTGCATTATTACTTAATGGACACACCAGAATACACTCAGAAAACCCAATCATGAGGGTCCAGCTTTAAAACATTAGGGGCCTCATTTATAAAGTGTGCGTATGCACAGATTAGATTTTAGAGTGTGCGTATATGCTTAAATCCACACCAACGCTCATATTTGTAAAAACTTCCTTTGATGTGGAAAAGTGCTTAGCGTCACGTCAGGGTCTGAGCAGATGTACCCACTTTTTCTGAGTACTGCAGGTTTTTGTAAATGTAAGCTGTTCTTCCAGCTCGCTGTTCTAAATTAAAGGATTTGGATGATGACTGGTGATCTTTTATATGTTAATGACATTAATTAGCGCGCAAGTTCAAGATCACATCTGAAAGAGAGGCGTATGTGCATTTTCTGTGCGTACATTCATTCTATGAATCACACGTATGCATATTTGAGAGATGATTGTAAGTCAAATTTAGGATGGTTTCTGCGCAACATTTTATAAATGAGGCCCTAGGTGTGCAATTACCATGATGCACCATATTATTTGCATACCGACTGAATAGATGCTGGATGATTTCACACAATGAATACTAATTCTCTGACATAACAAAACTCAACCACACGGATACTAATCAACAGACAAAATTCACTCAAATGAAAAGTAAATCAAGGCTTCTTTATTGTCCATCCATTTTAAATGACCACTGAGCACTTTTTCCATGAATTGGTTGGCAGTGCTTCACCTCTCTTTTTGCAGAAAAAGATGTTTCAATCACTTTAATTGCTTTAGATTTTATTGATTCTTTGAAAATAATGATTTTACCCTGAACCAATTCATCCTTGACCCCCCCTAAAGAAAGCTCATCCATTTTTTTTAATCATGAATGACATGTCAACATTGATTTCCCTTTGACTGTCATCTGAAGATGGATCTGCATATGGTATATTTTGCTAATATTCACCTGATGGAATCATTTATAGCACCTTAACAGAATTACACTCAACTTTCCAACAGCGGGATCGCTCTGAGGGTGCCAGACACCATTAAAAGTTAATTTACTTGTCTAGTTTTTCAAACACTGACGTTTTTCGCTTGTAAGAGTTTTAGAAATTGTAAAGGAAATCATTTTTGTCTGCAAGCAGTGACATTTAATAATACATCAATAACTATAGGACGGAGAACAGGAGTGGGATGATTGTTTTTAGATTTGAGAATTTAATATTAGGCAAGTGTTTCATATATTTAAATATTATTCTGCATGTTGATAATATTGGTAATGATCAACAATTTTATTGGTTTTTTTTTCTTCAAAAACAACTACAATAAAACACGCTACATCATTTGGCTACTGTATTAGTTCCTTTTGACTATAATTTTCAGCACATGCTACCTAAGAAAAAAAGAAAAAAAAGCCTAATTATAATTATATTTTGGTATGTTATGACAGCTCTTAAGTCAACTTTTAGTGACCTACTGCTTGCTATATTTTTGTGCTTTTTGTAATATATCAATACCTTCATGAAGCTTCTTATCCTCTTATCCTATATGTTATTTTAAAGCTGAATTATTGTAATATTTTCCATTTATTTACCAACTTTAAGACGTTCAAGTATGATGAGCACATCATTAAATGTTAATGTAATCAAATAAAATTTTAATACCTTTAAATCAGTATGCTACAACAGTTTTATTCAAATAAAGAGTCTTTAGAAACATCAATTAATGAGCAAATGAATCAGTTAGTAGATGTTTTGAATATGCTTTCTCCTTCATAATGCCTCTCAGAGTCATGATGACAGATGGAATATCCATCCTGTCTTAAATGGATAAAACAGAAAGGTGTATACTTTTGACATCCCAGTGTTTTATTTGATATAAAGAAGTGTTGTTTTATATCAATTGTAAAGTCTTCTTAATATAAAGAAAGACAGAGGCTTTATAAATAATTGTAACAATGTTGACATCTCCATTGTTCTCCATTTAATCACACGATTGCATGAATGTTTTGCATTCCAAACAGGTCTTGATTTCATATTCAGACACCTCTTTTTTCACTCCCCTAACCCTGCATCAAATTTGTCAAATGTTTTCACCAGACAGGGGAATATGTATTTGAAATGTTCAAGAATATGAAATGATAAGCACTCTCATTTCATGTGTCTGTAAAATGATATGTCATCATTATACTGTCAAACAGCAAGAGGCTTCACATTATTTCACTGTCAGCTTCAAAGTGACCTGAAAACTATTGTTTTAGGAGCTCATAAACTCAGCACCAGCAAAATGTCAAAGAAACTGACAGATTTGGAAACTTGACTGTGTCTGTAGCAGGCATACCAGTAATGTTTAATTCTTTTCCAAATAAAAATGCAACAAGCTACAACTAGAGAAAAATATACCCTATTAAATATACAAACCAAATGTGTTTTGCAGTTAGATTTGTGTGGACTCCAGGGTGTTATGGGGTCTGTGGAGGTTTTGGAGATGGACATGATCCTTGACTCTCAAAACTGGATGCTCTTCCAGGCCACTGCAGGGACAGATGATACCAAAATATCGCAACAGAGTAGTTTAGGACATATTAGACTTAAATACACTTGGCAAATGGATCAGAATTAGCCCAAAGCACTATATCAAGGCTCAATCTACATAACACAGTTGCATTAAGTTGTCATCGTTTTGACTCCTCCATCTTACCTTCCAGGGCTCAATACTATGGATATTTTTCTTCACTAGTTCACATTTTTACCACCCTGTCAACATTTGTACTGGTCCCAACATAAGATATTTGTAGATGTTCCAGAATTTTTAGATGTAATTTTTAGCAACATACATGTGTAAAAACATAATAATAAGGTGTAAAAAGATATTAAAAAGATTGCATTGGGCCCAGTGAAAATATATAAATAGTTTTTCGCAATTAATTTGATATTGAAAAAAATACTCACAATTTTGACAAAATTGGGTAATGATAAATCTGCAGAACAACATTAATCAATAAATCCCGCAAATCTAAATTTTTAAATTTTGCATGGCATAAAAACTACATAATGCAACATCTTTCCTATTGGGCAAGTGCAAGCTGGGTTCAGTTTTCTGCTCCACTTTCTAGTTTCTCACCTCACAAAGTGCATGCCAGTGGGTGATGGGCTTGCGTGGATAAGCCAGCATCTCGTTCCAGTGGTTCCTCCCAAGACCCTCTGCATCCGGCCCTGCCCTGCATACTCCTATCACTTCATTGTGTCCAACTCTGAAAGAGAAACAAAACATAAGACTTTGTTTTAGAAACCATTTGCAGTGGCCAGTGGTTTACTATCTTTCCAACACATTTTATAACAGAAAGTATGTGCATTTTTGATCCAGATAAAAAGACTAAGGAAACCAGTGGAAATAATAGCGATCATACTTGATCAACAGGACTTTTGCATAAATGGTCCCACATCCACCCACATATATATTTTACTCCTTGATGGTTGAGCGATGTTTTGATAGCATAATCTGCCCTTAATTACAGCATAGCTTTCTGATTTAATAGACGTGCACAGCAGAGTTTTATAAGGCCAGACTGAAAGATCTCCATTAAGATGTTTGTTACAGTCGCCAAGCATGAGTGGTTTGCTAGCATGCTATCTGACTTAATATCATAACCATCATCATAATTATCATCATGTCAGAATAATTTATCTTCAGCATGCTATAAATTTGTATGGTTATTGTTTTAAAATGACCTTAAGGAGCAGGGACTGACCTGTCGTAATCCATCACCATGATGGACAGGCTGACCTGCTCCACATTCTCAGGTGGGATGTCGAAAATTATGGCCTCGTTATAGACAGGGTTGAGTGTGTTCTTTTTGGTTGTCGTCTTCCGCTTCTTCAGTCTCCGACCATCACATATGAGGGAGACTTTAACATATGGATCTGTGGAAAGAAGCAAAGTGAATGTGTTTGGAGCTTTTCGGATCTGAAACATGAATATAAAGGTTTTTCCACATAGAAGAACATAGCATTATACATTTTTTCCTTTTTAGCTGTCTTAACATGTTCTGCTTGCGATATGACAAGAGCCCACAGGCATTTCAATATCTCACAAAACATGCTTAGCATTGATGTGTCTGGTTGATGACTTTTCCCGCTCTCATGAGAACTCATACATAAACTAATTTTTAACTTAATAACATGCATCAAATTAAAAATTGTATATCATTTTGGGTTTGCAGAGACCCAGGCATAAACAAAATGCAATTAATTTTCACATTTCTTCTGATTGACTGTGGAAGGAAGCTTCTGCCAATAGTCTAATTGGATTTATTTTATTGTATTTTTCTACAATACATTTTTGTATTTACAAACCTTATATAATTTATTGGATACCAATGACATTTTTAGTGCATGTCTAAATACAAATACAAATGGCGCTTAAGGTTTCAACAGTTTCTGTCTACATAAAAAAATAGGAAAATAATAAAAAATAATAAAAAAGGAGAAAATTGGTTCAAAAGTTCCTACTATTATTTTCACTGTCATTTGAATGTCTCAGGGGTGTCTAATCCTGTTCCTGGAGGGACAGTAGCATGCAGAATTTAAAGGGGAGATCAGATGTAAAATTCACTTTTACATGGTGTCTGAACAAAGATGTGTGCTGGCAGTGTGTGTACACAACCACCCTATAATGACAAAAATCCACCCAAGTGCTTTCTTTTAAATCCCCAAAAATCACTAGCACTTTCTCAGATCAAGCCATTCTCAGATTCTAGCCAGATATACTTCACACATGCAGGCCAAGGCCCCTCCCACCAGGATTGTTAACTGGCATGGCCGTTTTAGCATTGACCCGCCCTGAGTGAGCTGTAATCACTCCGCCATTGTTTCGACACTGGAGCAGGGGTAGACAAGATTGTCTCCTAAGCGATTGAGGTGTTTTGTTGTTGTTTGGATGTAATAATGAACATAGCAGTCGTCATTTACTCCCAACATCTGAGCCGCTGAAGATGCAGTGGATTACTTTTTTTTTTAAGTGAATGCGCCCCCGATCTACCTAAATTTGTCTATGTTCGTGCAAATCATTCGTGATCCAGCTTCACCTACAGAAGAATTGCCTTTCCTAATAATGTGCTAGTTAGCAAGCTCTGCAACGAATGCGCTAAAGTTTACAATCTTAGAGAACTGCTTGTCACCCCATGGAAGAGAGGGGTGGGATGAGCAGAGCTCATTAGCATTTAAAGGGACATGCACAAAAACGGGTCGCTGTGAACAGAGCTGTTTTCGATCAGATAAAATGGGTGTTGTTTATAGACTGATTACAGACTTTTCGTTAAAGGGGTCATTGGATGCCCATTTTCCACAAGTTGATATGATTCTTTAGGGTCTTAATGAAAAGGATATAACTGCGTCTTCAGCGGCTCAGATGTCAGGAGTAAATGACGACTGCTATGTTCATTATTACATCCTTCAACAGATCACCTCAATCGCTTAGGAGTCATTCTTGTCTACACCTGCTCCGACATCGAAACAATGGCGGACTGATGACAGCTCACTCAGGGCAGGTCTAAGGTAAAACGCCAGTGTCAATCAACAATCGTGGAAGGGGCCTGGGTATGTGTGACTTCACACATCCAACATTCTGAGAATGGCTTGATTTGAGAAAAGGGTTATCATTTATAGGGGATTTAAAAAAAACACTTGGTGTATTTTTATCATTATAGGGTGATTGTGTACACACACTGCCAAGACAACATGTAAAAGTGAATTCTGCATCCGATGACCCCTCTAAGACCCTAAAGAATAATATCAACTTGTGGAAAATGGGCATCTGATGTCCCCTTTAACTCAAATCTTAACTTTTGGATTACTGGAAACTTCCAAGCAAATGTTTTGGGGTATGCTGGAGTTAATGTGAGCATAAAGATGGTAAAATTGTGAGGGACAGGACATGAGGGTTAACACTGACCAGAGTAGCCGGTTATGTCCATGGCTTTCAGATTGCGACACTTGATGACGGTAAGGGTCATGCGCCCAGCCGTGGGAAGATAGCAAAGGGAATACATAATTTCACCCAGATCAACACTCTCCTGAAAGAAAGAAAGAAAGATATTGAGAAGAAAACTTGTGTAGCTGATAGAAAACAAGTTGATTGTTGGATGCCAAGAGATGGCTAAAGTAATGTCTGCACATCAGTGTCCTAAAATAGCATTCAAAATGATTGATTAAATGATTTGCAGGATCTTCAGCATATATTGTTAGATGATTTTTCGCTTAAGAGTCTCTCTAGAGAGCACTTTATGCGACTGCAAACAAAATCCTTATCGACTGACTCTCCAAATAGACTTTTGTTTGCCTCGCCAGCAACAACATAGCTTGGGAGATATTGGACTAATGTTTGCTCATCAGGTTTAAACAAATCCCTATTCTATATTAAATCTAGAGAGAGGATATGTCTGGAAAAACTTAAGAGAAAAAAACTCAGTGACTCAGAAACAACTACATAGTTGTTGAAAGAAATATGACTCTTCTAAGAAAGCAAGCTTTTTCCAGGAAGACTTTAAGACTTTCATAACGGTTGTGTTTGTGTGTGTGTGGAAGTGTGGTGACGTATACTGTGGGAAGTATAGTTTGGGTGGCTGGTTCTTGGTTTTGAATGAGACAAATCTAGCTTCCCTGACCTTTATTAGTTTTGCAGAAGCGGTAAAGATTATTCTAAAAGGCCAGTGTGTATTTTGGTATTTACAGCCTCTCACTACTGGAATAAGACAGCCATTATTCTTTCAAAGGCAGCTAAAGATAGTGATTAATCTGTCCAAGTAAAGATTAAAAACCGATTGCGTAATGGGGAGAAACATACATATGTAACCACTGTTGTACTGTGTTTAAATTTCAGGTGTACCACTCTTCCAAAGCAATGAATTTTCCCAATACCATTGATCACATACAGTGTTCATTTTCTTTTTTTATTAATAGTTTTTGTCTGATGTTTTTTATTATTGAAATATTTCATCATATTTATTTGTATTCAGTTTTACTCTACAATGGCAATCTAAACTACCGTGCAGAAGATTAGGGTAATTTTAATGTTTTTGAAAGAAGTCTCTCATGCTCACCAAGTCTGCATTCATTTAATACCATAAAAACAGTAATATTGTAAAATATTATTAGAGATTTTACTGATTTCTATTTTAATATATATTTAAAATTCAGATTATTCCTGTGGTGACAAAGCTTAATTTTCAGCATCATTACTCCAGTCTTCAGTGTTACATGATCCTTCCGAAATCATTCTAATATGCTGATGTGGTGCGGAAACATTTCTTATTTTTATCAAAAACAGTTGATGGCAAAACAGCAGCATTTGTTTGGAATAGAAATCTTTTGTAACAATGTAAATGTCTTTGCTGTCACTTTTGATCAGTTTAATGCGTCCTTACTAAATAAAAGTATAGACCTTTTTTTTTTTTTTAAATCATGCTGACCTCAAACTTTTCAATGGTAGAGTACATTTAGTCAACAAAAATAACGGTTTAGTTACCAAGAAAGTGCAAAATGAAACCAAATATTCAAACATTTTATGTTAATTAAGTATCATTTACTTGATACTTGTTAATGTTCTATTAAGAAAAATATATTTTTTTTCTAGATAAATCGGTGCATTATTAACATCTTGTGGTGTTCTTGTCATATTTTTTGCCAACAGTACTGTAAATTTTAATTGTCATTATCATGAAGCACATTTCCTTATCTAGTAATCATTATTATTTTTAAAAAAGCCATTTGTTAACAAACACTGTTGTCTCTAATTGACAAGATCAACACAGATTATATATCAGATGAGGATATGGTACCTCCTCTGTTGTAATATGACGTCAAAACCCTTTCTGTCACGTCCTATCCCCTCCTCTGACTGCTCTTGTTATCCACACCACAACTGTTGAATACAGAGAGCCACAAGCTAGTTCTAGAGTCACGTCTCCTATCAGCGTTCGCGTCCAAAACAATTCACAAATCTTTTTGGGGCAATAATACCCTTCCTGTTTTGACTGGCCAACTTCCTCTCCTCCAGATCTGAATGGCCTTGTGCCACAGTAGCAATGTGCTCCAAAAAACAGAGAACAAAATTAGACCTTCAAACGTCAGCTTAAGATAAAATAGAGGGTTTCAATGTGCAGTCGGAAGTGTAACAGATCAAGGCTGCAATCTATGGCTCTGACTATTTTAGGAATTGAGAGTTACTAGCTTCTTTCCGCAGTCGGGGGCCTAAGAGCAGCTGGTCTGGTTCTGAGAGTCAGTTTTTGTCCCTAAAGGGCAGTTGTGATGCTCTCATAATGGAGCACAACAGGTCGAAGCCTCTCCACCGCCTTTCCAACCCCAAACATCAGTACTTTTGTATTGTAGCTATGAGGCAAAGCAATAGTCAGTGAAGAGAATGAGAAGGAAATAGCATGAGAGTGATCCAAATGTTAGCAAAACACAACGGAAATGATTTGACAGGCACCGAAATGTGCATCCCTGTCAAGCAAACAACAGGAAAATGAATAAATATGCTGAAAACAACACAATCAGGAAATGAATGAGCCCGAAAGAGACTGATGCGTCAAACAAGCAGGAGGAGGAGATTGTGTTTCCCAAACAGGAATGAGTCACCACAGATTTCTCTCGATGGTGAACAAAATGAAACGCTGTCACCATTCACTTTGTCTTTGAAGCAGGAAGTCAGTGGGACATCATCACTCACTGTAAGTGAGGTGAGTGTGACAAACAATGCCTTTCACCTCAACAGATCATCTAGCAGTTTAACAAGTCAGTATATACAGTATGTAATAATATATAACGTCAATCCTGTGTGTATATTACCACTTAAACTAGGGTTTAATGTTTCAGTTGATGTTTGAAATCATAGATTCTGAACTAAGTACCCAAACCTTTTTCTTTACCCAACCTTTACACCTTTTTTCTTCAGATAACTAGTATGCTCATCATAAGGCTAAATACTTTTGATATTATTCAAGTGCTAACTATTAAAGTGATAGTTCATCAAAAAATAAAAAATAATAATATTATTTATTCAACCTCATGTCACTCCAAACCTATATGACTTTATATATGAAATACAAAAGAGGATATTTTGAAAAATGTTTTGTGTTGCAGTCCATACAATGAAAGTCAATGGGGTCCACTGGGGTTGTTTAGGATCCCATTGACTGGTATAGTAATTGTACTGTAAACAAAAACAATTGTAACAATCTTTAAAATACAATCCGTGCTCAGCAGAAGAAAGAAAGTCATACAGATTTTAAAGAGTAAGTAAATGATGACTGAATTTTCCTTTTAAAGGGGTCATATGATGCTTTTTTAAAGATCATTATTTTGTGTATTTGGTGTAACAGAATATGTTGACATGCTTTAATGTTCAAAAAACACATTATTTTTCAAATAC